GTCATCCGCTGTCGTTGTGCATTGTCGTTCTTTGTTGTTGTGCATTGTCATTGTCATCATGCACCATCTGCTGGGGCTGATCCACATCAACTGCCAAAGACCTTCAACTGCAAGGGGGGAGATGACAAGAGGAACTCACCACCTCAGAACACCAAAGGTAATGAGAGACAACAGTGTCTGGTTCAAACAAATGTAAACCAATCCACTGTGTGTGTGGTGGATTTGTTTGTTCAAGTTGAAAGACATCTGGATGGGCAACAATGCCAAATTATGATGTACGCCAAGGATCATCTGAACCCCAGTGCAGGTTCAGACGATCCTTGGCACACATCATAATTTGGCGTTATTTGCTCCATGCCTACTACCTATTTTACTAACTTTATATGTTTTTACAGGAACACGTAGGACTTAATGACACAAACGTGTTAATGTCCGAATTGCTTCCATTTGTTTCTTGTGTCGTAAGTACATATCTTACTTCTGTGTTGATTGTACATATATTTCATCCATCTCTTGTGTTTTATCTTACTAACTTTATATGTCCTTACAAAATAGAATTTCATGACATGAATGAATGGCACAACACCAATGTACCTTTGCATCCACTGCTGTTGATGCTTATGCCCACTGCCGTCTCTACTCTTTGTCACAGCCATCCTCTTGTAAGTATACCTTCTCCGTCTTCTTATTTTACTAAGCTCGAATAGAACTTCACACTGCATTATTTGCTCAGACATATATCTATGTTACTAATCTTATACATCTTTACAGGAATACGTAGGACTTAACAATGCAAAGATGTTATATTCCAAATTCCTTTCTGACATTGTATGTACATCCCTCCTTTTCTTGTGTCTTTTCCGAATCCCCTTCCCCATCAATGTCCTCCAGCCAAGTCAAGGTGAGTGTGATCCATCAAAATAATTAACAATAGTGACTTACCTCTGACCACCAAGATCCGCCGCCGTCGTCACACAACTGACTGTGATTTATCTACACCAAGCCAACAGTGGTATGATGATGGACATGTCATATGCTTCAGAGGTCTATGACATGAGTAAGTCATTGAAAATGCATTGAGAGGTTTCATGAACACTTACCATGATTTGTACCATCAGCTGAATATCAACAACAGTAGGATGTGATGTATGCTCAGGAGGCATAGGACATAGGCAGGTAAGTCATTAGTGTTGGATTGAGACATTTTGTGAGCACTTACTGTGATTTTGTATAAGTGGTATCCAGTAAGTTGCAGCATTTCTTGTGAATACATTTATAGATGCTTTTTTCTTTTTGAGGACCAATTATGTAATGCATACTACTACAATGTATGTAATTATATTGCTTGCAGTTGTATATTATTTATCCATTTTATTTGATGTAATTTGGAGTAGATATGACAGAGTTGCAGTATTTTCAGGTATAACTTGGGCAATGACATGTCAATTATGTAATATATAGTGCAGCATTTTAAGTAATACAATTGCACGGAATTTTACCTTTTTTCTGGATTATATTTTATGTAATTCAGAGTAGATTTGACAGAGTTACAGTATTTTCTTTCAAAATTGCTAATATGAGCTGCACACAAAAGCTGAAGGGTTATTCAGACGATCCTTGGCGCACGTCATTGCTTAGTCATCATTTTTAGCGAAAATGAAGATTTCTATGTAGCTCTGCCAAATCTGGTCCAAATGACATGGGTTTTTTTGCAGTATGCACTCGTTCATTGTAGGATCGTTCTGAAATGAGGATAAATGTAGGTAAATACAAATAAATAGTCTGAAATGACATGTGTACTCTCAGATTGGTTTCTGTATACTGAACTTGAATCCAGATGATATCACATGGTCAAAAACAAATGCAAACAGACCTACTGCGCAGGAGGTAAAGTTGTTTGCACATGTTGAATGATTAGTAATCTATCTTGAAGATTTCTACCTAGCTCTGCCACTTCTGGTCCAAATGACATGGTTTTTTTTGCAGTCTGCACTCCTCAATTGTAGGATCATTCTGAAATGAGGCTAAATGTAGGTAAATATAAATAAATAGTCTGAAATGATATGTGTATTCTCAGAAAACATTGGTTTCTGTGTACTGATCTTGAATTCACATGATATCACATAGTTTAAAACAAATGCAAACAGTTTTACTGCGTGTGCAGTAAAATTGTTTGAATGATTAGTAATCCATCTTGGTGCACCAAAAATGAAGATTTACATGTAGCTCTGCCACTTCTGGTCCATTTTTTTTGCAGTATGCACTCCTTAATTGTAGGATCATTCTGAAATGAGGCTAAATGTAGGTAAATACAAATAAATAATCTAAAATGACATATGTACTCTTAGAAAACTTTGGTTTCTGTATACTAAACTTCAATCTACATGATATGACATAGTCAAAAATGAATGCAAACAACTTTACCACCAAGGAGGTAAAGTTATTTGCACATATTGAATAATTAGTAAATAGTCCCTACCTAGCTCTGCCACTTCTGGTCCAAATGACATGGTTTTTCTTGCAGTATGCACTCTTTGATTGTAGGATCATCATTAGATAATGTGTTCAGGGTTTAAAGTAGATATCCAAATATGGTAAGCTAATAAAAATAGTCATAACATGGCAGAGAAATCAGAGAAAATTGAGGATGGTGCTGATTAACTTGTGTAAGAGGCCATTGCAAGCATGGCAGGAACGAGTCCTATTTTGCAAGAGTGGTAGTGACCCATTTCTGCTTTCTTTTCGCTTTTTTTCTGGATTTGTAGCCATATTTTTTACAAACNTATTATATCTTTCTATTTGAGTGTCACTCTGGGCTCAAGCAGAGTA